TTCCCTAATTTAGCTGCAGTTATTTTTTTGTGTTTCCTCTTTCAGGTTTACCCCAACACATTCATTTGTCCACCCAGTAACTGTCTTATTCAGGTCCTTATCTATGCAAGTTGCCCACATACACTGCAGGAGAAAGAAAAAAAAACAAACTCCCTCTCACCTACGAAGAAAAAAGAAGGCAAGGAAATGGGAATACTGCATGGAAAGCACAGAAAACAAAAGGAAGTGGCAATGAGAGCACATTTGTACCCTGGAGGAAAGAAGGCAGATAGGATCATATAAACAAGAATTTCTGGCAGGGGTTTGGTCATACTGCCTGGGAATGAGATGGAAAAGGGAGCACAGGGTATCACAAAGGGAAATAATTGCTGGCAGAAAGGACTGAGGGAATGGTTTAAAGACTTGTGGCAGGGACAGCCAAATTCAAGGAGACAAGAGCTTGCAGTTTCCAGGTAGCTCACTGTGCACATGGAGCTGCAGAGCCTTAAGTGCAGGTGAACAGCCTGTGCCTGCATTACTTCAGGTAAGAAACCTGCCCACCTTGGTGTGGCTCCGAAGCCAAGGCAGAGAATGGATGTGCTTGGAACAGCTCCAAGAGTATAATTAGGGACAGTTAAAGAGATACAAATAGCCTTGCAAATACTAAAAGGTTTTCCCCAAAGATGGAACAGACTGGCTCAGAACAAGGCCTTGAGGTCCAATACCTGTTTTACAAAACCCTCATTGAGCCACCCAGTTACAACAGGTTCTGCCACCACTGCAGTTTCTCCAGGAATATTACACTGTCTCACTTATTTTTGGTGGAGGAGGAGAGGCAAGGAGGAAAGAGAAGTGAGAGGATTTTATGCTTTTACCTGTCCCATGAAATCCGTGAAGAAGAGCATGTTGGACAGGAAAGCCATCCATCCAAAGAGGTGGCTCACGCAGAGGTAGCGATAGTGGGATGGCATGCTTAAAAGAGTCTTCAAGAGTGATTTAAGGGTCATCCGCCTTTGATCCTAAAAGCAAGTATTTAAGAATAATACTGTATTGCCCTGAAAGCTAATAAAATAGCTGAATGCAAATGAAGAAGGCCTCAGCCTCTTTTCCTTGCTTTACTTCAAAAGTTAATTGTTTTTTGCTAGAAAGGGCTTCTTGTGTACTGAATGTCCTTCCACATTTATTTGGTTTGCCTAATACAGTCATCTGAAAGATTCCGAGACTCTGAGAGAGCTGGGGCATATTAGCAAGGATGTAATGTTTCTTGCTGTTATAATGGGTAGAATTATTATGCACTTGTAGAGCAAAGCAAAAACTTCATGGAGTTAATCAGCTTTAAATTGAAAACATTTAAAGTTGAAAATTTAAATGGAAATTTTAAAGCTGCCATGGGAAAAATGATACTCAAAATACTTCCTGAGAATTAAAATGTATCAATTGTGGAATATGGCACTTCTGAGACCTTGTTGCCACTCCCTTCTATGTGCTAAATCCCCTAGAAAACTTTGCCTCTTCTGGCATATTGTGAGATTTTCACCCTGTACTGTCCTCCCCTCCATGAGGCTGGGAGAAACTGTGAGATCACAGGAGATGCAGCACCACTCAAAATGTGAGCCCCAGCACCTGAACACCTCATCTCATGGGAAAAATAACTCATTTCAAAATCAATGCACTATTGGTGCTGGGTAACAAATCTCACTGATGGGGAAAAACACCATTCTTCACCATCTTCAATGCCCCACCTTATCTCCCTCCTCCTTGTATGAGCCCAAAGCTCTCCCTCAGTTTCTTCTCCAGTTACATTCATCAGATCACAAGTACTGCTTGAATTTCTTTTAGTACTGTAAGTGTGCCTGATGTCAGGCATTTGCAACACACAGTTCTTACTGCGTTAAGGCTCCAGAACGGCCCTTTGCCTTTAAAGAAAAAAAAATAATAATAAAAATATATATTATTTTCTCTGTCCACAATGGAACACTTCCAGTTTTCTCTAGTGATGTTTGGAGACAACAGTGTTGGCAGAGCTGGTAAGGGAAACTGCATGGTCATGAAATGTGTAACAATTGTAAGTTATGTTCATTACTGGAAAGCTGATCTTCAATTTGCTGTAAGATAATGACATTTTTTGCTTCCTTTAATATTCTACTTACTTTTCACAATTCTGCTTTCCTTTGAAATAGGATATGCTGCAAGCTACTCTATGAATAATCACCACATACAAAGTTGGAAAATACTTGCTCCAGTGGGAAGTTTTTAATCCTCATAGGAATGCAAAAATTCAAGTTGCTGACTTTCACTTTAAACTGCATATTGTCCAAATCCCTTGGAATTTCTCTTGGCATCACCATCTATTTTAAACACAGTAAGCTTTCTATTCTTCTACAGTTATTTAAAAATGGAAAGAAAAAAAAAAAGAAAAAAAAAGAAAAAAAAGTTTCTGCATTGTCTCATTGGTTTTATTTCAAGGATAATTCCTGTCATTTGACTTGGCTTACTTAATTTGTTCAGCTCTTCCACACAGTTCTTTAAAAACAGTCTTTCCAATCGAAGTGTTAACATAAGGCCAGGGAGCTACAAAGGACCCTGCTCTAATTACAAAGAACAGTTTGATGGCAAGATAGAAATGCTTGCTTTCTATTTAGGTATTTTAGAGAGTGAAAACTTAAATGTTTAATGCACACATTCAACACATACCAACACACAAACCCCACACTAATTTAAAAATTTTTTCCATATAAGTGCTTCAATCTTCAAAAGCTCACAGTACTGCACCGTTTTCTCTATAAAATCACTACAACTCAAGGCCTAAGATATATAACATATAATAACAACATTATATAGAGGACTCAATATTACTTGGGTTTTCTGGCAGTAGATCCTGAGTAATTTGGCACCAAACTAAAGCATAAAACATGAATTTCTTTGGATGTCTATTAATACTGTAATAGGTCAAACCTCATTCATAATCATGGTAGCTATTAGCATGTAAGAGTACAATCCTTAATTCATAAGATATAGAACCATGATGCCTACAGCACAAAAAAGGGTCACATAAAAACAGGAAGCCAAACCATTTCTTCGAGGAAGCAATTACAGTAGTGAATGAACTCAGAAAACATGTGCCACAAGAGGCAGACTATGAGTGTCCAGCATTTATGCATGCCCAGGCACATCAAAGGAACGTGAGACAGATCAAAGCACTGGGAGCCTCCAACAGCCTGTCCAGCTCCAAGCACAGAGAGGAGGGCAATGGCACAACCTGGCCCAGGGAGGATGCCAAAGCTTTACCTCGGGTGTCAGAAATTACTGATGCAGTGGAATTACTTCTTGCCAAGGTAGAGGCTACCCCAGTCCATAAGTCTGCTCTTCTTGCTTTCACTGCATCTGGTCTCTCTTCTTCATTTACCTTCCCTCCTTTAGAGCCCACATGGGCCAAGCAGTCAGTGACACTCAGCATCTCTGACAATGTGCAGGATGCTCAGAGTGATCAGTGCTGGTGAAGGATGCTGGCTGCTCAAGATGGCCTGTGGTAGGGAAGTAGGGACAGCATCGTAGCATGCCAGCCATACTCTCCTGACAAACTGTTGCTTGCTGTCCCTCTCTGTGTTTGCCTGGCATTCTCAGCAGGCAGTGTTCATCTTTTAGTCTACCTGTGTCATATCTGGTTAATAATATTTTTCTTTGGGTTAGGAATGCCAAGTGCTATTAAAATAGAAATGAAAAATAGTAAAAGATAATAAATCCCTTTTATTTGTAGCTCAAGCATGAGTTGAAGTTTCTAACTTATAACCACCTGCACATTCTCAGTATTTTTACCTGATTTATCCAGACCTGAATCAGGGATAGCTACACATAACACCAAGAGATCCTAAGTGAACATAAAACAACAAGCAAGTGCTTCATCACTCATTGTTACATTAGAAGTCAAGTACATACATTAGCCTTTGCTTAACTAAGGTACCAGCAGAATGTAGTGAGCATTCCTAGCATTGAAGGTAATTAACCAAACAGTAAAAACTCTTATTTGTTCCCAAGACCATTACAGAAACGTCCTCTCCAGATATTTTTCAGGTAGATTCACTTTTTCCTAGATGCCTTAGATTGAAGCAATGCCTCATAAAAAGGCAGCAGAAACAAAACAACAGTGATGATTTGAAAGCAATTGCTATTCTCCCTCACCTGGAAGTTCCACCAAAGACACAGCCACAACATCGCTCCAAAATAAAACCGTAACTCTGGAAGTGAGGCAACATTGTTGCAGAAGTGCCCGTTTTAAACACATCAGTACTATCCCTGAATCCCCAAAGAAAGGCTGAGCAGAAGCACAGCTGGCATGTTCACCACACCAAGGAATGAACACTGTGTATGTTGTATGTATGTAAGTGTGTAGACTTCAATGGGAGCTACAGATTTATGTCAAAAATAAAGGGCCTGTAGTCCTTGTCCACAATGTGATGTCAGTCCTGTCAGGACTAAGGGACCAAGCACATCCTCTTGACAAAATTCACACAAGGTTATCATGAGAATGACACAGAGCAGAAACCTGGGCCTGGCTCTTCCTCATCCCAGCCAATGCTTCAAAGCATCAGGACTAGTCCATCTCATCCCTCTTGCTGGAAATACATTATGAATTAAAAAAAAAAAAAAAAAAAGAGAGAGAGAGAAGCAAGCAGGATTTCTACTGACACTGTATCCTAATGGAAGATTCTTCTTCTGTGTATGCGAAAGGGCTCCATTCAAAATAGCCAGCATTAGCTAATAAAAGGATTTCCGAGGATGGGATGTTCTGGGTTACAAAAGAGCCTCCACACTTACCTCTCTACAGTCTGTAGCACGGTGGTTCCTTGGTGTAGCTGCAGCCTTCCTTTCAGCAAGTGTCAGCTTTGAGTAACCATTCCTGTTTTCCCCCTCTGTGGAGTTATACTTAAATGATTTGGTCATTTCCAACAGGAACTTTTGCTCTTCGTTTTCATATCTGAGCGGGACTTCGGGAATACTGCGCAGATGTAGGGTAAGGCAGATTAGGAAAACCAAGGCTGAGAGCAAGAAAATCATCTGGAACTCTGACGGCAAGGAATATCCTAGTATAGTCAGACTCCAATCCATAGCACCTGTCAGGTAGCCCAGGGCTCCTCCTAAACCTACAGAGGTGGGAAAATATGAGAAGAAAAATACCTACTGGCATTGATATAATAAAGAAACAGTAAACAATACCCTCAACAGGTGATCCTTTCTAGAAATAATTGAATAATCACTGTCTGAATATTAATCAGAAGAACACGAATACTGAACTAGTCACACATATAAGCAGTTACCAAAATATCTCCATAGCTTTGGTGGACAGACATGGCAAATACAGCAACAGGGACCTCAATGTTTTTTCTTGGCTCTTTGAAGCTTTATTTTCTTTGAAAAAGTGAGTAACATAAAAAAAAAAATCTACTGAATTTTGTGATTTTTTAAAAACTTCACAAAACCAACAAACATTTTTTAAAATTGTATAGAGATTATCTATAGTTTAAACTTTAAAAAAATGTGTTCTATATAGCTGAATCTAAACAGAAATACTTTCTCCCTTTGAAAATTAATAAAAAAGGAAAATAAACCTAAAAGATTTTTTTGTAATTACCAAAAAACATCACCATTCAGAAAAGAAAACAAAAAGGATCAAATTCAAATGAGTAATTCCATTTACTGATTTTCTAAAAAAAGTTAGAATAAAGGGTAAATTGAGATGCTACCTTGTGTCTTGAAGATAAGTAAATAAGCATTCAGTCTGATTTTTTTTACAATTTCTTCTTTTTGTTATTAGTGCACACAGTTCCAGAGGCACAAGAAAGTGCAGAGGGTTGCACAGCACAGAGCTCTGGAAGGGGACGCACCTTTGTAGAGTCCTGACACCTTGTTAAACAGGTGGCTCTGCAAATGGGATTCAATGCATAGAAGCATTTGAAGGACTAGGAAGTATTTCTACTTTTCTGCTTAGGAGAAATGAAGACCAATGTATGGCAAGACCATTCTGTTTAACAAAAAAAGGTAACTCTTACCTCCAACTGAGGTAACAGGACCTACATTTGCTTCATCTACAAAATGGAATTTTTATTTCATTCTGAGCTTCTGTACTTTTTTTTCCCTCTTGGGTTTGATTATCACCTTCCCTCATTCTGTCCTACTGCATTTTACAGAGGACTGTATCCTTGCTTGTTCTTGTGAAAAACAATTAAGCTGTTACTAATTTTTTGATTAAAACCTGCACTAAATGTTTGCACAGAATCAATGCTTGACATTTGGGGTCATCTTTGCATACCGTTTTTACAAAAGGTATTCATGGTATTGGGATGCAGTGTTGAGTGCTGCATGCTGGACGTGGGTGTTCTTCCCTCTACTTGTCTCAGTGGTCATAATTTTCATAAATGCAAAGCTATTGAGTTTCATGTAGAAACCTTAAGCTGAAGACAGACTGGAGAGCAAAATCTTGGAGATACTTAATATAAAAAGGAGAAAGTGAATAGGGAAAACAAAATAACTCAGTATCTAAACCAAAGGCGAGAAAAGAAATTGGCAGATTGCTGTCTCTGTATAAAATTGATAGAATAAGGAACAATAATTTTAAATTATAGGGAAAGGATATTAAGATAAGATTTTAGGAAAAACAGCCTAACAACAAGACCAGTAAAGTGCTGGAACAGTCTGTCTTGTCAGGGCTGCAGAACTGCGTATCGCAGGAGGATTTTGGGAACAGGCTAGGTAATTATCCATCAGGAAGGATTAAGATACCAATGACTTTGCTGTAGAGTGTGCTGGACCAAATAATGCAGAGGAATCTCTTCCAGTCTTATTTGATGTGATTTGTCCCACATTCCTTTTCACAGCTCAGTACACAAATGAATAAGCTAAATATGAAGCTTCAAATGTGGGCATGAAACCTTTTTAGTATCATCCAAGAAAAAATTGCAACCAGAGTTCTGCTAAAGGCAAGAATATACAGAGACTTCTCTGTCAAAAAAAGTGATTGTTAAAAATGTTGTATCCATTTCTAATGGATAATACTGATTCCATTCCCATGTCACTTTAAGGTTCCCTTTTAATCTGTGTTCCTGGACACAGTGATTTTGTATGTCAAAAATCTGTCTGTTCTCAATAGCTCCTACACCTCCCTCCTTGTCTAGAGAAGGTGCTGCTGTACCTATGTGCCTCTGCTCTTGGTATGGCTCACTAGCCACCAAAACCTGCATCAACACAGCCTGCATGACTTCTCTCCGAGGCTGCTTTTGTTCTAGTCCTTTCCCAGTGCCTGCTCCCAGACACAAGGGGAAGCTTCTCTCAAGTCACATTAGAGACACACAGACGTCTGT